ATGGGAATACTTTCTTAACTCTATAGAGTAAGTTAAATTTACCAAAGGCATGTAGTCATGGTACCCTAAACTCTCCCTCATTATATTTCATTATAATGGTAATTAATTTATTATCTTTGAGTGCCTGTCTCCCTTGCTGTAAGGTTTATAAGAGTGTTTACTTGAGGACTAATAAATATTTATAGATGGAAGGAAAAGAGCCAGAAAGGAAGTATATTAGTTATTATTTTTGCATATCCACCCACTTTTCTGTAATCTGTACTTTGTTTATATCCAAACTAAATGATATAACTACCTACTTTTTATATGGCTCACATCATAAACACAAAAATAACATTTAGGCCCACAGAATGCCCACTCTCCTTCCTCCTCAGCACAAACCACATCAATGCCTAATGGGAAAAATAGGAAATTAAAATTTCAGTGACAAAACCGTCATCGTTAGTGAGATCAACTTTCAGTCTGCATCTGATATGCTACCAAAGCTTTGCTTAGGTCGCTGGGATTCATCTTATCCTACCACATGAGGTAAAAGCAGCCTTAGGCAGGTTCTTGCTCATCTTATGCAGACAGAAGGTGATGAGGAGGAAACTGGTATGGACAGGCATTGTTCATATCAGATATGATCCAGCCAAAACAACCTAAAATCTTCACGCCAAAACAACTAATATGGGCTTCTTCCAAGCTACGAATGTTGACCCCTAGAAGTAGGCTACAGTTTCCTGTCCACTGTGGGAGTATGTATTATCTTTTAAAGGAGAGAAATGGAGGCAGGTACCTGCATTAAATAAGACATGCATATACAGTATTCTTGCTTCCTTGCTCATTTGTCTCAAAAACTAAGTTGCACTGTTAACTTAAATGCACTCAATCCTACACTTGAAATAAGACTAAAATGTGACCCAATAAAAGCTTTCTAAAGACATCTCCTTAATATCATTACTATTTCAATGGAAGCCTGTCATTATTTATACATGTCAACAATGTTAGCATATTTTAATTCCTTTATTGTTGGCCTGACCTTGTTTCTTTCTGTAATGAGAAAGGAGGAACCTCATGGAAGGGAAGAGATAGAGGTTATTTGAGTAGCAGAGTTCTGGTCCGCTGCCACCTCAGCGAGATTTATTAATCTTGGAGATTCTCAGTCTCATTTACTAAACAACAGTGATTCACACAGAGTTACATAGCCACAGTTGCAAAGTTAATTGAAATCTAGATCCCCTAGCAGTTCTTCCTTCCTTCAGCAATTTCTCAGTACTGCAAGCTAAAATATTAGGTGAAATTGTTGTAGGCTTATGGAAAATGGAAACAAAGGTGGTGAGCATGGAATCAAAAGTGGACATGTGGTTTTTTTTCGTGTTTTGGCTTCAGCACTTTCAGCAAAGTATGAAAGCAAAGCAGCTTATGTAACCCTATATCAATAGTGCTTCTCTCCTTAGCATTAAATTAGCACAAGGAGTTCAATATGGCTCTCACCCAAGTGCAGAGAAAGGTCGGGAGAAAAAAAGAATGGAGGAAGAGAGAAAGAGATAGATGTGAACACACATAAAGTCTGTTCAGAATGTTGCAAAAAGCCAGATAATTCCTTTTAGTTTAACTCATTATCTTCTCTACAGAAGCAAATAATGCTTCACAATATGCAAATAAAGCATCCTGACACAAGGCAAACACTATTAACCAAACTAATCAGGAAAGTGAGTCTCACATGAGATTACTACCTCTATTCTACCTCAGAACAATGAATTCAAAAGCAAGCAAAGGTGTCATTCTTAAGCTAGTCCCTTGTCCTTTCCATATGGCCAACTTTTCTACTTATTATTCATACTAATGTTGTTGATGTTGACAGATAGATGTTCTCAAGTGTTGGGATAACAAAAAGGAAACTCCCAAAAGAATTCAAGAACAATGGAGGAGTAATATGTGAAAATGAACATAACATATGAAAACATTTATTTATTCATTAATGCAAAAATGTCATGTAGGATAAATGTAGTAAAGAAAATATACTGTGGAGGAAAAATATCTTATTGTGCAAACACTTTCATGTAATGAAAGACAAGTTAGCTTCCAGATCTGCTCAGAACTGTGTAAAATGATTCACAGACTTCTAGTGTAGACATTTATCAAATGAAAGAATTCCTAAGGTAATATTGACAATTGCTTTACTTATAGGTTCTTATTTATCTTTGTACTTTCATACAATATTTGCAAATGACACCCACATTTTCAGTACTCAGAGTGATAATATGGGCCACAAAATTTTTGTAATGAATTGTCATCACTAAATCTATGAAAAGGTGTCTTCAACTACCTAAAAACACTGAGAGAGAAAACAACCCTCTGGGACAATGGCTAAACTTTTCTCAATGGCTAAAAATAAACTGTATTATTTTTAATTAAATAGTTCAAATATTTTCTTGAAATTCAAACTTGATAGAAAACATGGATTGTGTTTTTTTGTCTAACTTAAGCAGATGGACTTTGTATCTCTGCAGTAAATGTTCATTGGGTTGGTTCTAGGATATTCTTGGTGATAGTATTAATATCAACATCTACATCAAGCATAATGGTGCATCTGGGTACAGTGCTTAATCTCTATATTACCATTTAATTGCCTAAGTTCCTTCAACATTTGATATAGTACCTACCATTAAGACACCATGCAACTTCAACTTTTTTTTTTATTTTATTTTCCAGTTTAAATTTAGATAAGAAACGAGGTTGCTTCACAAGTCAGTTCCAGGTCCCTCTCCCATTCCTTCCCCTCCTCCTGTGCCCTCCCCCCACCCCCCCACTATCCCCTCATTTCCCCAGGGAGGGTGAGGCCCTCCATGGGGGTGTGCATAGTCTGTCATTTCGATCAGCCACTAGCAACTTCAACTTTTAAAACATATTTCTTGTAGGCTAACCTTGTATGAAGAAGTTATCACAAATCTGCAGAAGGGCCTCACCATTGCAATTATAAGGAAAATGAGGTCATCAGCACCATTATGTTCATGAGGCAGGCCCATGGAAACAATCATGGGAACACACTACTGGTGTCTGTAGGAATACTTCACATCGTGGGCATGTCTGTAGCTCCCAAACTAAGCAGCTGGTGTGAGGCTCCCTGGGGGTTGATTGTACTGTCTGTGATGCAGTGGAAGCATACTCTCCTCTTCTCCTGGCCACTAAACAATCCAAATCTGGCTTCAGGCAGAAGCCAAGGCGACCTTCATGCCCAGATGAACCAAAGATAGGGGTGGGGTGGGCCAAGTGGATTTCATCTCCTCTACAGTCCTCAAAGGGCACACAGCTACTGCCATTCCAGATGCCAAACGGAGAAGAGAGCCAACCCCAGAGCACAGCACTGGCTGCTCTTTGGTTCTGAATCTGGAGCATGAGAAAGAAGGGACAGTTGCCAGATGACAAGGAGACCCAGCCAGATCTGAGCTAATGAAACAGGGGCCTCAAAATAAACCAATCACAAAGTGGACAGTCCAGAATAGGGTGGGTTTTGTTGGCTCTTTTGTTTTTTTCTGCATTCAAAAAAAATCTCAGTTGAACTGTTTCTTCTTGCTTCCTTAAGGTTACAGTCAAATGAGGAGGCAGCAGTACAATCACAAACTTTTAGGATTTCCTTTGAAGATCTTAGACACTTTGCAACGTATGTGTCATTTGTACCATGTACAGTAAACCGACTATCAAGACAAACACAGCTAGGCACTATGTAATCTTACTAGCTTGTCAATGCTTCCATGTTAGAAACTGCCCCTGCCAATATAAGAAGAAGAATGTGTGGATGAAGCATATCACACTTTCTGAAAGTACTGTGGAGCATTTAGAGAAATCACAAGACAACCTGTTGTTGGTTTTTCTCATATGTAAATATATCTTGACAAAAATATAATGGATAACTTATTTAAAAATAATGACAGTGATCATACATGAGCACTGTGAACCAGAACACAGCTATTTCTGAGACCTTACCAATATATGTCAAATCTGCCTGTGGCTACAGAGTAATAACCTAACTTTGCAGTCTCTGTCTACTGGGGCTAATCCAAATTATAGAGTAAATATCCAGAAAATATAGTGTGAGACATGTTCAACATTTTGAACAAATAGAATCTAATAAAATGAACACCAATAACAACATTCATTTGTGAATCCATGAAGGTAATCATGAGAAACAGCAGAAATAACCTGCCGGAGATGGAGCTGATATAAAAAGGGGCACACACTCTGATACCGTGTGTGTCTGTGTCTGTGTCTGTGTGTGGGTGGGTGGTGTGGTGTGTGTGTGTGTGTGTGTGTGTGTGTGTGTGTGTGTGTGTGTGGTGTGTCTGTGTGTCTGTGTCTGTGTGCTGCATCATCGTGCACTTGTACTGGGTTGAAGTCATAGAGCATTTTCTCTGACAGCCTTTCCCAGAATTTCTAAGATGACAGAAGGAAAGAGTGTGTATGACAAGTGGTTGTAGTGAGCCTTTTTCTCACTCCCATCTGGCTGCATGACCTTCTTGCCATATACAGTCTATAATTCAAAACTACCACTACCTGTTTCTTACCACCCATCAGGGGATTTTAGTGCTTGATTACTGGGTCCACTTCCCATGAGTCACTGGATTCTGTTTAGTGACCCTTGAAAACTACCCATTTGAAAATGATATTCTCAGCCAGAAAAACTACTTTGCACAGATAATGCTACTGTGTATTAGTAACTTCGTGGTATAGGCAGCAATGGTCTTATGAAGAAGACTAGGGATATGCCTTTTTGGTGGAAAGACCTTCTGGAATATAATGATCTGGTTTCATGTTCCACCTGACCTCACCATCCTTCATGAGTGCCATGTGACATCAGCTCGGCATTTTGTTCTGTTTTCACTCATGAAACCCAATGACTGTGTGATGAATATTCCACAGCTTTATTCAAACTTAAGAGAAACATGAAATGACTTGCTGTTTTATCTAAAGAGCTAAATTCCTAGTTAAATGGAAGAAGGATAAAAAGATGCCCCTCAGCTGCTGACATAATACAATCACATTGTTGCTAAAGTCTCAATGTAAAATAAATAGTAAGTAAATAAAAGGCTGAATTGCAACATCAGAAATCATAGATAAAGTATTGACAGAATGGGAGAGAGGACAGAAACAGAAAATAAAATGTAAAAATTCAGTTTTCAATGATAGGTTGGGATACTATTTTTCATGCAGGCATATTTAGTGAAAGAAGCATGTATCACAAGACCTAACAATTCAGATAAGAAAGGAAGGGGTCAGTGAGTTCTAAGAGGAAGTTTGTAGAACCTGTAACTTGCAATTGTGCTATGGGTGAGTTCCAGCTGTCAGTCTATCTGTATTTCAAAAGGGAACTTGGACATTGTATTTAATTACTTTCAATGCTTGCTTCAACTAGTAAACAGCCAGGAGTCTATTTTCATTTCCTTTGGCAAGAGGGCTGGGTAGCCACACAACATATCCTCTAGCAATGAAAAATGAAAGCCACAAATGTAGCAATCAGCTGTCAGAAGAAAATCAAGGAGGGATTGCCATTCTGGTCATTTCATGGTGAGTATTCATGAGAGAAGCTCGTGTGTGTGTGTGTGTGTGTGTGTGTGTGTGTGTGTGTGTGTGTGTGTAAATGAGAAGCCTTGCATGTTCAGTATTGACAGAAATGTAAGCAGTACAGGTCCTAATGATAGCAGGGTGTCTGAGCATGAAGGGGTAGTGGAATCATCAATGGTAGAGTGAAATAGCAGAGTCTCAATGGCTAATTGTGCAAGACTCCTAACAGCGGTTGGAGGGGTGAGATAGAGGAACACAAACAACAATATATTCTTATTTTGGAATGATTCTGAGGACTTTGGATTCCAAGCTTTAAGTGAGATGCAAAGAGTATGTATGTGTTTGCATTTTTAACCTTTGTGAATTCTTTTCACAATCTCCCCCAGACGCAGAACCAAGACATTTTCAAAGTAAACAGCCAGTACTAGCTATTCAGTGCCCCAGGCATAAAACACACTGACCATTCAGGGGTCAGTTATTAATCCGTGAATTCTCAAGTGCATATTGCATATTCTCTCTCTCTCTCTCTCTCTCTCTCTCTCTCTCTCTCTCTCTCTCTCTCTCTCTCTCTCTGACACATTTCCTTCTCCCCTTCACTCACACCCCCCACATCTAGGGACAGAAGAATCTTAGAAGAATCTTGTAGGGGTTGTTCTGTCTATAAATGCAAGTGCCAGGTGGCAAGCAGCTACCCAGCAGCCTCCTAAAGTTAATGCCAATTCCCTCTTGGAAGAGCAGGAATGCAGGGGTATCAGCATCGTGGACTCAGGGACAGCAAATACCAAGGCAGCGCTTGGAGTTTACAGAGGAGCAACCCCAGTGTCCCTGCCACTGCCTCCCACTAGCACCACCACCACAGCCAACACACACACACACACACACACACACACACACACACACACACACACACACACACACACAAGCATAGGCAATCACACACGCGCCTCTCTGCCCCCAGCCCGCACAGGCCAGCGCTGTATCGGCCACCGCTAGCACAAATATTGCAGCAAGTCTGCAGGCTCCTGCTCGCCTCAGGACCTAGCTTGGACCAGCACAGCGGGAAGAAGCACATCCCCAGACTTGTCAATAAGCTGGTTTCTGTGTAGACCCAGAGAGCAGCTGACCCCACCGGGCATCCCGGAGCCAGAGCCAGCAAGAAGGGGCGCGCGCGGGGTCGCTGCAGGCTCCCCCTACCTTGCAATGAGAAGAGGGACAGGAAGAACCCCAGCACCCAGACGCTGTGCAGCCAGTAGGTCCTCATGATGCCGCTTGCTCTAGCCGTCTGACCTCACTCCTGCTCTCTCTAATAAAACGCGTTGCTCGCTTCCCTCGGTTTCCCTCAGGGCTCTTCGGGCTCTGTGACCCGCACGGACCAGGCTCCTGCAAATCCCAGCACAGCCTCGCTCTCCTCTCCCAGAGCGCGAGCCCAGGTCCTGAAGGATGCTCGCAGCCCGAGCCTGGTGTCAACACAGCGAGCCTCGTTCTTCCTCCAGCTCTCCCGCTCTCTTCTTTCCTACCCTCCTCTCCCTCACTCCCCTGCAGCTCCAACTAAATGAGACTGTACTTAAACAAGCAAGCGCCTTATAGGACCCGGAGCCCAGCAGAAAGGGCCCCACTACTGCCATCTAGTGTGCACAGCCTGGCAGCGCAGCGGCCCTGGGTTTGCTTGTGTGCTCGAGGTCTGTCCAATGCAGCCAAAGTCCTCTTTCATCTCAGCAAACACAGGTGAAAAACCCTTGTCTTCATAAGACCTTGACTTGACCTTGTAGCCCCATACATTTGACTTTCTCCCTAGCACGAGGAAAATCTTGAATCTCATTATCCACGGGTCTATCTATGCTGTGTCTCCCATTCTCTCTGACGTCTCCCTTCTTACCCCAAGGACTGCATGAGAGCCTCCTCCAAATGTCACAGTGACCTCCACCTTGAGATTCCAGTGGCCATCTGAAGCCGCGTCCTATCCAATTGGCATGCTGCATTACACAGTATTCCCAAAGTTCTATAGATGATTTTCAGTCACTAGGTCAAAAAATTCTGACATGACTAACCTTAGCTACCTTAACACTCAGAAGATCCCCTTCTTGATCTCTCTTGCTTAGGTCGTCTGTCCTCTTGCTTTAATTCCGTTAATTTGACGTTATTTGGAGAGAAAAAGCATCTATTATGGATTATCCAAGAAGGAAAATCAACCCAACTCTTCTTGCAAGCACTCAGAATGAACTCCCAGCCGGGTGCCAAGCATCTCCAAGGAAATGAATGACTCAGGAACACCTGCTCCTGAGAGCAGAGGCCAGAGAGATGTCCTCCAAGTCACAGGAATGCAGAATGCAGGGAAGCTGGATTGTACATCTGCTCCTGTGGTTTCCACTGACTGGAGACCCTAACAAAGTCAGAAAACTTCTAAATTTCATTTAATCACCAATGAAATTAAATATTTGCATTACGTGATCTTGATGTTTGTGGCGTGTAATATTTCTGCCATACTACTGACCTTGACATTTGCAGCACATAGCACCAATCTAGGTTCTTGACTGTGGCTGGTGGAATTCTTTGCAGTTACTTAGTAGTTGTAAAACCCAAGACCTTCATCAGCCACTGCAAAATACCCACTGTGGGAGCAAAATTGCCTATGTGGACAATCTCTGCTCTATGCCTACTGCTATTTTTTTTGGCAACTCTTCTATCCTAGTTAGGGTGTTTAGAGATGTGGAAAAAAATGTCTAAAGCAATTTGAGGAAGAAAGCTCAAAACCCATCAACCAGGAACTCATTGTAGGAACTAAAGGAAGGATTCTGGCAGATCAGAGATAGACACAGTGGCTTTGGAAGCATGCTGCTTATTAGCATACTCCTCAAGCTCAGTGTGCTTCTTTATCTTATCCAGGACTACATGCTCAGGGCTCAGAAAACCCACAGTGGGTTCTCCCCCATCAATCATCAACTAAGAAAATTCCCAAGAGGCTTGCCCACTGGTCATTCTGATGAGGGCATTTTTCCAGTTGTGGTTCCCTCTTTCCAAATGTCCCTAACTTGTGTGAATCTGACATAAACTAGCCAGCACAATTGAACCCATGTCATCTTGACACAAAGCACATCACTATTCAATAACAAACTTCCCTTTCTTTGCCTACCCCCAAGATCCTTTGTTAATGTCAATATCACAATAGGAAACATTACAAATCAAAAGTTCCACAGGGTTTAAATCCAAACACCTGGAAAATTCAGTCTCTTTAAAATATATAAAGTCCCTTTCAGAGTAAAATCTTTAAAATACTCAAATCTTCCCCAAACCATGAAAAATCCTTTCAAATAGTCAAGGCATCTTTAAAATTTCAAAGTTATTACCTGGAGGTTCCTGATAAATATTTTTTTAAAAAATTAAAAAATAGTTAAATACTTTCTTTTCACTTCTTGGTTTTAAATTTTAAAATAGTGTGGCCTCACTTTCCTCCTTTATTCTCTTTCCTTCATCACTTCCCTGCTTGCCTCGTTCTAGCCCCCCTTCCACGAGGTCCTCCAGTTCAAACTGATAACCTCTTTATTCCAAGGGGATATTAGGATACAGTCAGAATCAGATCAAAGCAAAGTTAAAGTCTAGCGCAGTAAGTGTCACTCTTCTGGCACTCAGGATCTTCTAGGCTCCCGAAGCATTGCCATAGTTCACATAGTGGGCTTCATCATCTCAGGCTGGCTTCACTTCGCATCTGCCTTGGAGGTCATCCCATAGTACTAGCACCTCCAAAATGCTGGGATCTCACATCCAACTGAGTTGCATCTCCTGGGTTCTCTTTGGGAACTATGTCCCTGTTGCATCATGCCAAGCCTCAACTTCTCTCCATGATATCTTCAATCCTGTGACTCAAACTACAATGGAGGCCGCACCTTCATTAATGGCCTACTCTGGCCTCTCATAGAGATGAGACTCGGTTGTTCTCCATGACCCCATTCATGCCTTCAAAGCAGTACCCTGTGGAAGACTCTAACACATCACCAAATTTGGCTGTCAGCACAGTGCACAGTCATTGTCCCCTCTGGTCCTCAACTTACGTGTGCTGACCTGAGGAGACAATTCCAGAAGCTTTCACCTCAGTGCTTCTGGTCTCTTACTCACTGCTAATTTCCCAGTGCCTGATAACCAGTATCAATTGTCCCAATAAAGCCAGTGTTTCACCTTAAGTCTCTAGTCTCTTCTTAATCCCATTCAGTTCTTCATCCTCAGCTTACCAGAAACACATGTTTAAAGTGAAAAATACAGAATGTTCCCAAAGGTCTTAACTTTTCTCTGAAACTTGACAAGTCAGGCCTCCATTGTTTGTACTGCTCCCGACATTCTTGTCTTCCAAGCAATTGAATAATTGCTTGTAAGTAGAGAGAAGGAAAAAAGTTTACACATTCATATCGCAATTGTTCAAATGTCTTTATGAAAACTTTTCTTAAATGTAATATATGCCTAGAAACTTCTTTCATAAATATTATTTCCTAAGGGCAAGAATATGTCATATCATCTTTCTTCTCATGTCTTTTATTTTATTTCAGGGATACTGTTTGAAGCAAAGAAAAGTGTTTCTCAAATTGACCAGATAAAGCTACATATAGAAATCTCATAAACAGACACCATTGAGGCCACATGCCTGGAGGCCTTAATTTCAGTGAGGATGGGGCTACAAATAAGTCTGATACATTAACAGAGCTCAGTAACCTGGAATGTTGAAGCACGTGCGTGCGTGTGTGCATGAGTACGTGTGTGTGTGTTTGTTTGTGTGTGTGTGTGTGTGTGTGTACGATGGGTGTTCTATTAGAAATTTCTGGTTCTGCCCCTTTGCCTACATTCTGTAAAGTTCATTTCATGTAACAATATGAATGTTGCAATTAATACCATTGTGATAGACAGACCTATGTATGAACATATTATATATTTAGGTAGATATTGTTTTATTCCTTATCATCATTACAACTACTTCTACATCTGCACCCACAGTTACATTCTGCTTCATAAGTACATCTAAAATAACTATTTTGGTTACAAAGCTACCTATGGCATAAAAAATAAATCATAGACATAGCATTCCTTCATAAAATTTTACCCAGAGGCATTTTATTCCCTTTCCTACAGCTGTCTTCCAATCCAACCGAATCTCAAGGTTTATAAAACCTGTCAACTTCCATCGCTAATGTTCAGTGATGGGATTGTAATTTGCTCTGGGAAGCTTTCTTACACTACAGTTAAGTCATTTACACTCGATCAAATGATGTTCTGTTGGGTTCAGGAATTCCTAGACATCTGCCCACTCCTCCCACGCACTTTAGAAGGATTCTCTTCTGAGTTGCAGAAGGCAAAGGAAAAAGGGGAGAGATGCTGTGCTTTGAAGTGCAATTAGGTTCACATCTGTAAAGTACCTTTTAACAAGAGAACCCCTAAAATGTGATTCTGAAGCACTGTGTCAAATAATAATAGTAGTAATAATAATAATAATAATAATAATAATAATAATATCCTTTTAAGTGAATGGCTTACCTATTTTCACCTTTTTCTCTATTGGAACTAGCCCTAGTCCTTCAGACTATGGGACTGTCTCCTGTGGTTACTTCCTGTCTGAATCATGCCTTGTTTGCCTGACTTTAAGCAGGAAAATGTAATATACACAAAAACTAACGCAGTATGTAATCTGGTGTCTGAGTTTCCTTTGAATCTTCCAATGGTAGTTATGTCATTTACACATATTTCAAGAAGGGCTGCATAATTTATGTAGACTCAGAAATGATGAACAAGAATGCAGATTTTCATGTGTATCTGAAATGAAACTGGTCTAATTCTGGAGCAAAATGCCTGAAAGAAGTAACAGTGGTCATTTAATATTAACACCTGTGGTTGGAAAGTGGTTTCCTGTGCAGAATCTGAGTACAGCAAAGGAGAGAATTTTAGCTAGTGAGAAGTCATCTTCTTGCTTTGAATTTTCCCTCTTGGAAATGCTGAAATTCCATGTGTTGACAAAGTGAACAGAACTTGAAGAAAAAAGCTTCTGTGCTTGGTGGGATTAGAGTGAAGCAGAAAATTATAGGAGGAACACTATATGTAACAACAGATATCCAATTTCCATTTACCCACTGTGTGACCAGAGCCAAGTAACCTAGCTTCTCTGAGAACTGTTTCTTTCTGGACCTCCCTGAGAACATTGAAATGATCAACCAAAACAGTATATATATAGAGTTTCCAAACTGCACTAGGTACCCTGTGAAAGCTGATTCAAGCTAACTTTAAATCTCGCCACCCAAGCCTCTGCCTTCCTCTGGTCTCCCAGCCCCCTTCTCTTCTTAAACAGAGCAAGCCTTCCAAAACACAAGCAGTGGGGCCGATGTCACACAGCTAAAGAAATATACAACACTAGACTCCTCTGATCCAGACTGGAGGCCTCTGCATTGCCATACCACTTTATTTTACATATTATAATTTTGAACCATTTACATAGAGGATTTGAACCACTAACATTTAAAAATGAAGAATGACTGGTTAACTTTAATACAATGCATGATCATTTGAGGTGAGACATTGGACACTGCCCAGTGAAGAATTTCACTGAGATGGGAGGTTTGACAGGTGTCAGAAATAAAGAGCTATAATCACTCCCCTTTGATCCAAAATAACTTCCTTTCCCTTAAATATCTCCATTTGCAACTGAAAAGAAAGCAAGCTCTTCTGGTTGAAGAAATTGCTTTTGCCATTAGGATGCAAATGGCCAAGCAAATTTGCTACCCAATAAATCTTTTGGGGCATTGTATGGACAGAGTCTTTGAATTTGTAAAGCCTAAGCTTTAACAACAAATAATATTAAAAAAGCTATAAATTCCACATCTATATGACATTTTTGTATGTAAGACTCCTGAATGCCAAACACTCTTTTAAGAAGAAATTATACTACCTAAAGGCAGTTAGAAAGACTTCTTAGTTACATTGCACTTTTTGTAATTAGTGGAATACCATAGCTAGAATAAAGATTATAAGAATCCCATTTCTTTATTGCTTTATCCAGTGGCAATACATAAAAACAACTCACCAATGTTTTGTCTACCAAACCAAGGGGGCAGGACTCTATTGCCAAAAGATCATATGTCTCAGGGGCAGGAAAAATCATGCTGGGACTGAGATGGAAGCTTTATCCTTGCTGGCTAGTCATAAAAATGAATGAAGGTACGTGAAGACTGTTGGGGGAGAATTGCCATCAACAGACTTACATAGACATGGAATCATTGTGTAACCAGTATACTCATTGTGCTCAATATGCTCAGTGTGCTGTTCTACCAGGGTGCTATTCCCAGTATGCTAATTATTGTGTGTGTGCAGGCAAGGTATGAATATTGATACAATAGTGGCAAATCTGTTATGGGGGTAAGTAACCACTTTCTGGTTACATTTGATGCGCACTATACAGTAGGGAATAAGCCTAGTCAAAA